TATCACGGAAGTTTACGATGACGCGGCGCGACGTAACTTACATAAATAGTAGAGGACTCGCCTCGGCAACTGGGGCTAAACGGACCTGTTTGCCTCGACGACGCGAGCGGCCGTGTGAAAGTCTCGCCGCCTCGTTAACGCCACCCTTAAGCTCCGGCTCGGGTCTGTCATACCGTAACGAAGACGAGAATAGAAGAGCGGGTGGAAGGGAAGGAGACGGAGAGCCGGAGAAAGAAAGAGAAAGAGAGAGAAAGAGAGACAGAGAGACGAAGAGAAAGGGACGAGACGAAGAGAGATGAGCGAACGGGCTTTTTAAGCTGGACCGGAGGAAGTTGGAAGCTGCGAAAGGCGGACGGTCAGATGCGAGACGAAAAAGGGAAGAACAAACCGCGCGATGGGAAAAGCAAAGCCGGGTCCACCCGCGAGAGGGAAAATAAACGGACGGACGGCGACGTCGTCTCGGCAAATTAACCGCCGCCCCGCGAATAGTCGCCCGTCGTTCTTTGTTCCGGCGTGAATGACGCGTCCGTGAGTGCGTTCCACGATACCTCCGGATAATCCCCTGGAATCGCTGCCGCGAGCTCTCACAAGACCGCCGTGGCGATTGCGATCAGCAATCGGATCGGCGCGAGAACGCTTTGCGGTGTAGCATTAACGATACAAGTAACGCGGAAATTTCAGGTTAATGCCGGCCGAAGGGAAAGCCTCGAAGGGAGTGAATATGTGATACGATGACAATTATTATACTTCGAGAAACAATAATCGCCATAATTATCGTAATAACTGGCAGACAGATTGAAAGAGGCGGTACGTGATATCAAACCGAGCGAGTTGCTCGTAATTGCTTACTCCGAAATCGTCCTTTTATCGCCTCCCTCTCTTTCTCTCTCTCTCTCTTTCTCTCTCTCTCTCTCGTCAAGCAGATTTTCGTCCGATCGGAGGACTCGGGTCCATCTTCGCAGCTTCGACAGCCGTGCGACTAGCTCGGCTACGGCGGGTCCACGACTCAAGGCCTGCGATATTTCTGCGCCAAGTGTACGAACGGCGTTCGGCGGACGAAACGTTTGATATCGTTTATTCGCGGCTTCCGTCGGAGGGCAACGCGAATAATAAAAAAGGGGGAGAAAGAAAGAAGGAAAGAAGCAACGCGTTCTCGCGCGCAAGACACGAGACGAGACGGCTACGATGACGACGACGACGAGGTCGCGGAGTGAGAGAATGAGTCAGAGACTAATAAAATCGACTGTGGACCCGAAGAGAGTCGCGCACGCTGCTGCCGGGGCACTCTCGTGGTCTTCGCGAGCATGGGAAAAGGCCAGCAGATTCATTGACCGCGAGGGACTCCAGTTAGCACCGAGGTCTCCTCCAGCCGCCCCTCCTGCCCTCTCTTCGCCGTCCCCGCGCAACCGGCCTCTACCATTGTTTCATTAAGACCGACCGAGGCCCGACACACGAGGCGCGGGCCTTACGTGCCTCCGGCGAAGTCGCTTTTCTCCCCCCCCCCCCCCCCC